TCCCCTGTCGACTCATGTGACATTCCTCCAGGGTTACATAGAACCAGGGTGTGGGCTCCAAGCCATCTCCGAGACATCTCTAGTCCGTGTTGATAATGGGGGAAATGTACCCCAAAATAGTCCTTCATTAGCCAGCAGCAGTCCCCTGTCGACTCATGTGACATTCCTCCAGGGTTACATAGAACCAGGGTGTGGGCTCCGAGCCATCTCTGAGACATCTCTAGTCCGTGTTGATAATGGGGGAAATGTACCCCAAAATAGTCCTTCATTAGCCAGCAGCAGTCCCCTGTCGACTCATGTGACATTCCTCCAGGGTTACATAGAACCAGGGTGTGGGCTCCGAGCCATCTCCGAGACATCTCTAGTCCGTGTTGATAATGGGGGAAATGTACCCCAAAATAGTCCTTCATTAGCCAGCAGCAGTCCCCTGTCGACTCATGTGACATTCCTCCAGGGTTACATAGAACCAGGGTGTGGGCTCCGAGCCATCTCTGAGACATCTCTAGTCTGTGTTGATAATGGGGGAAATGTACCCCAAAATAGTCCTTCATTAGCCAGCAGCAGTCCCCTGTCGACTCATGTGACATTCCTCCAGGGTTACATAGAACCAGGGTGTGGGCTCCGAGCCATCTCCGAGACATCTCTAGTCCGTGTTGATAATGGGGGAAATGTACCCCAAAATAGTCCTTCATTAGCCAGCAGCAGTCCCCTGTCGACTCATGTGACATTCCTCCAGGGTTACATAGAACCAGGGTGTGGGCTCCAAGCCATCTCCGAGACATCTCTAGTCCGTGTTGATAATGGGGGAAATGTACCCCAAAATAGTCCTTCATTAGCCAGCAGCAGTCCCCTGTCGACTCATGTGACATTCCTCCAGGGTTACATAGAACCAGGGTGTGGGCTCCGAGCCATCTCCGAGACATCTCTAGTCCGTGTTGATAATGGGGGAAATGTACCCCAAAATAGTGCATCATGACTCAGCAATCATCACACTCAACTTTGGTGAGAACCGGGCAAAGGGGTCAAAATCCGTCAATGTGGGGGGTGAAACGGCTGTACGCGAGCCCTGGGGGGGCACCCGGGACCGGGCAGTGCCCCCGGCAGAAGGAACCGGGTCAAACGGGCCAAAACAGGAAAAAAAATAAAAATAAAAAGAACCAGGCAAAAGGGGGGAAAATGGGAAAAAAGTGTCCGAAAATAGTGCCTCATGACCCCGCAGGAGTCCCCCGCGGACTCCCCTGACATTCCTCCATGGTCAAAATCAACAAACTCAACTTTTGTGAGAGCCGGCCAAAAATGGTCAAAATCCGTCAATGTGGGGGGTGAAACAGCTTTACGCGAGCCCTTGGGGGGCACCCGGGACCGGGCAGTGCCCCCGGCAGAAGGAACCGGGTCAAACGGGCCAAAACAGGAAAAAAAATAAAAAATAAAAAGAACCAGGCAAAAGGGGGGAAAATGGGAAAAAAGTGTCCGAAAATAGTGCCTCATGACCCCGCAGGAGTCCCCCGCGGACTCCCCTGACATTCCTCCATGGTCGAAATCATCCAACTCAACTTTGGTGAGAACCGGGAAAAGGGGTCAAAATGTAAAAATTGTACCCCAAAATAGTGCCTCATGACCCCGCAGGAGTCCCCCGAATCGGCCCGAAGCGCCAATAGTCTGGCCCCTTCTCCCGTTGGCACTCTGTCATTTTTTTGACAATTTTTCAAAACTTCATTTTTGATTATTTTAAGTTATAATTAAGCGTTTTCTTCACTTTTTTTTTGCTTTCCACGGGTGGGAGCGCCTGGCAGGCCGCCTATGAGCACCCAAATTCGGCCTGGATCATCCAGAATTTGTGGGCTAAGCTCCATAAACTGACTAAATCACCCAGAGAGGTCACCTTTCTAGCCCAAATATATATATACAAATACATTTAAATAGTAAAAGGTGCACTTGTGCTCTGCATTACCCGGAATTTTATTTTCATAGCCCCATGATAGTGATTAAAAATCATTTTCATGGGAAAAAGTGTTAAAACGCCTGATTAAATTATATGCAGGACCCCAGTGAGCTCCAGACTATGTGCATTGTGTTGGGGAACCATATAAATGATAGAATAAATGCATTTAAATGCAAAAATAATGATTTTAAATCATTTTAGGGGGACAATTGTGGAGAGGAGCCTGAAAATGACTGCAGCAGGCCGCCTATGAGCACCCAAATTCGGCCTTCTTGACGCACCACCACCCCTTCTGTGGAGGGTATTCTCGTGCCCCTGGTGACTCTACAAGGGGGGTGGTTTTTATGGTGCTTCGATGTCCGCCCATCAGCATCCATATTCGGCCTTCTTCACGGCATCACCCCCCCTTCTGTGGAGGGTATTCTCGTGCCCCTGGTGACTCTACAAGGGGGGTGGTTTTTATGGTGATTCGATGTCCGCCTATGAGCACCCAAATTCGGCCTGGATCATCCAGGATTTGTGGGCTAAGCTCCATAAACTGACTAAATCACCCAGAGAGGTCACCTTTCTAGCCCGCTCACAGAGCCCCCAAGGACGGACTATAGACCTCCAGCAGCAGTCCCCAACAGTGGGACTTCCATAACCTTGCACTCACTTCACTTGTCTCACACACACCCAGGGGGGTGAAAGAGGACACATTGGAGCACACATTGACCCAGCAGTAAGTGCTTGAAACGTGGCTAAAGGTGTGTCAAACAGTGGGGTAACATGTTTCAAATGACAGCACACTGCTGCTTGTTGGCAGGCTGACTCAGTTCACTTGTCTCACACACACCCAGGGGGGGAAAGATAACACTTGTACCCAGGAATAAGTGTTTGAAAGGTGGGGAAAAGTTGTTTGAAATAGTATAATATCTCCAGGGCGCATAACTGCACTTTACAAGCCAGAAATAATGTTTAAATGGTCTGGGAAAGTATTTTTAAATGTCTGGAAGAGAGTTTTAGACAGTCATTTTGCACGAAATCATTTAACATAGACGCTCTCCTGAAAATGCACAGAATATGTGCTTTTTCAGGAGACTGTCAATGTTAAATGATATCTCGCAAAATGACTGACTAAAACCCCGGAATAAGTGTTTGAAAGGCGGGGAAAAGTTGTTTAAAATAGGCTGATACCTCCAGGACGCATAACATGGGTAAAAAGTGTGTTAAAAGGTCGGGGAACATGTTTCAAATGACAGCACACTGCTGCTTGTTGGCAGGCTGACTCACTTCACTTGTCTCACACACACCCAGGGGGGTGAAAGAGCACACAATGACCCAGGAAAGAGTCTTCAAAACACAGGTAAAAGTGTGTTAAACAGTGGGGTAACATGTTTGAAATGACAGCACACTGCTGCTTGTTGGCAGGCTGACTCACTTCACTTGTCTCACACACACCCAGGGGGGTGAAAGAGCACACAATGACCCAGGAAAGAGTCTTCAAAACACAGGTAAAAGTGTGTTAAACAGTGGGGTAACATGTTTGAAATGACAGCACACTGCTGCTTGTTGGCAGGCTGACTCACTTCACTTGTCTCACACACACCCAGGGGGGAGAAAGAGGGCACATTTGAGCACACATTGACCCAGGAAAGAGTCTTCAAAACACAGGTAAAAGTGTGTTAAACAGTGGGGTAACATGTTTCAAATGACAGCACACTGCTGCTTGTTGGCAGGCTGACTCACTTCACTTGTCTCACACACACCCAGGGGGGAGAAAGAGGGCACATTTGAGCACACATTGACCCAGGAAAGAGTCTTCAAAACACAGGTAAAAGTGTGTTAAACAGTGGGGTAACATGTTTCAAATGACAGCACACTGCTGCTTGTTGGCAGGCTGACTCACTTCACTTGTCTCACACACACCCAGGGGGGTGAAAGAGCACACAATGACCCAGGAAAGAGTCTTCAAAACACAGGTAAAAGTGTGTTAAACAGTGGGGTAACATGTTTGAAATGACAGCACACTGCTGCTTGTTGGCAGGCTGACTCACTTCACTTGTCTCACACACACCCAGGGGGGAGAAAGAGGGCACATTTGAGCACACATTGACCCAGGAAAGAGTCTTCAAAACACAGGTAAAAGTGTGTTAAACAGTGGGGTAACATGTTTGAAATGACAGCACACTGCTGCTTGTTGGCAGGCTGACTCACTTCACTTGTCTCACACACACCCAGGGGGGAGAAAGAGGGCACATTTGAGCACACATTGACCCAGGAAAGAGTCTTCAAAACACAGGTAAAAGTGTGTTAAACAGTGGGGTAACATGTTTGAAATGACAGCACACTGCTGCTTGTTGGCAGGCTGACTCACTTCACTTGTCTCACACACACCCAGGGGGAAGAAATATAACACTTGTACCCAGGAATAAGTGTTTGAAAGGAGGGGAAAAGTTGTTTGAAATAGTATAATATCTCCAGGGCGCATAACTGCACTTTACAAGCCAGGGAAGGGGCCAGAATCCTGGGTATACATTTTGTAAATAGTGCAATACCTCCAAGGCGCATAACTGCACTTTACAAGCCAGGGAAGAGGCCTGAATCCTGGGGTAAACATTGTTTAATTGTTTAAGTGTTTTTAAATGTATGGAACAGTGTTTTGTCTCTTTCAAAACTCTCCCGTCATTGGCCGGATACATGGGGACGATTTTATATTCACTATGACCGTTACTATTCCAGTGAGACGAAGTACGTCCGGTGACGGGAGTGATCCCATGTTAATTTTGTCCAAAAACCAGAGCATTCCCTTATCCGCCCAAAATATCAGGAAAGAAATATAAAAATCATATAACCTAAAGCTGCAGGTATTTCGCCTTTGACAGCTAATTAATATAATCTGCTGTGACAGCTTTGATATTTGAGCCACAGACAATTAAAAAGTGGTTTTAAAAACTGATCAAGAACAATTTTTTTTAACTACAGTGGACCCACCTGCTCCCTCATGTGTTGATGGACTCTACTTGCCAACGTTTGTGCACCCAACACCTGAAAATGGACAACATATCAATGCAGAGACCAACAAAGAAGTGGAGATCAGAGTTCGAGCACAAGCTTCACATGCAACGTAAGTGAGAATCAACGTGATGAGTATTGCCTTGTGGCGTAAGAACATTATCAGCATTTCTGCGAGTGAGATAACTTCAGCGATAAGGAGGAAATATCTGGTTTCTTTCTTTTGTTTTCACACAGACTACATGATATCATCATCAGTGGGCCACTGAATATCAGAAAGCACAGAAGCACACATGGAGACTTTGTCATAAGGTGGACGCCTGGCCCTGATGATGTGGGGGATCATTACCCAATCTGCTTTGCTGTTGAATCAGTAATCGAGTGAGTGAGCCTTAAATTCATATTCTATTTGATACATTTAGTGTGCATGTGTGTGTGTGTAATACTGATTTAACTTTTCACACATTTTACAGTCCCGCCTCTACCATCCAAAACCTATCACAAGGACCATGTCTACGTCCCAGAATCTCCACAGTAAGTAACAGTTTTATTTTTTAATCAAAATAACAAATTAGGATTTAAAATAATAGAGTCAGAAGCAAATGCCTCCCTAAAAAAAGATAAAATGATTCTAGATAAATCTTCACTGATGCTTTCCAGGTCCGGAATCTTATCAGTCCGAGATGAGGTGCGTTCTGGTGAACATCGGTAAAAGACTAAGTAAGAACGATTTTTGTTTAACGTCAACATTTTATAGTAGAACTACAACTTTTATTATATTTTAACCAAAATGCTAAATTCCATTAGTGGCTTCATCGACTTTTGCAAAGCTGATGTGTTTGGGTAGAATCTTAAACAAAACAACTGCCACCTGTAGACTAGAACCATTAATCTAATGTGTATTTATTTTGTAAACCACTTATCTCTTGCTCTAGTTGAATCGCATGTGACCTGCCATGAGTCCTCAATGACGGTAGAGGTTATCAGATCTTCTCTCCCTGGACTTCATGAGGATCATTTACGCCTCAATGACCCCAGCAACACCGCCTGCAACCTGCAGAGGAACTCCAACATCACGCACATCATTGCGGTCGTACCCCTCAACGCCTGCGGCACTCAGATCGAGGTAACAATCGGGCATCTGTTTCATCACCCGCCGGGTTTTTCTCTAAACTATTGTTGCTTTTTATTAGGAGTTTGATGATTGAACAATTAGAGGGGAAACACCATAAGATCCATAGGGTTTTTTCGGGACATTGTCTTAAGAAATAAAAGAAAGTACAATGACACGTTTGACATTAAAGCATGTAAACAGGTTCTAGTAGAAACCCCAAATACATGTATGAACTTGAACACAATATGTCCCCTTTAACTCTGCAGGAAGATGAGGAAAACTTGGTTCTCAAAAATGAAATCACCACGGTGGACAACGTACACGACCTGATCACCAGGAACCATCTGCTGGAGGTCCAGTTCTACTGCCAGTACCCCAAACGTGGGAACGTGACGCAGGGCTTCACAGCATACAGGAGGAATGTGGTGGTGTGGGATAAAGGCTTTGGATCGTTCACCTACGAGTTTGAGTTCTACCCAGACAGCCAATATAGAAAAATGATTGATCCAGCGCTGTACCCTCTTGAGTACGATGTGACGAAAAGGATCTACATGCAGATAGAGGCCAAATCTACCGTCAACAACACCGAGCTGTTTGTGGAGTCCTGCAGTGCGGCGCCATATGACACCCCCAACTACTGGCCAACATACTCCATCATCGAGAATGGGTAGGCATGAGCACGCCATCGAGTGGCATATCTTTACCAATGCATACATTTACCATTGCATTGATTTTCTTTCATAAGAGAGGTGTGTAACTAAACTGCCCATAGGTGTGAATGAGATGTTTGTAGGCAGTGGATTTATATGGGAATTAATCAGGCAAACACATCCATCTGCAGTCCTTTTATTAATTCAAACTAATAAAAACGATGCATTGGTATGCATTGTTTTTGGTCTACTTTGCTTTCATAGTATGTTTCGAAAAAGGTTGAAAAAGGTATCTCAAAATACACTTAAAGGATGAAATATGGCTATTTGTGTCTGAAGATTTCCTTTTAATACATCAGACACCAAATGTAGCACTGTTTGTGAGGCATGGAGGCAGAGGCAATATTTCTTACATCTTTTTTTTGTTTTTCTGTTAGGTGTACTGTTGATCAGACGGTTCAAGTGCATCTGAAGGCCAACCCCAGAGAGTTCAGGTTCAGCATGGAGGCCTTCCAGTTCATTGGCTTGCACGACCAGGTGAAGAATGAAATATGAGGTTATACTCTGGTGGAGGAACCTCTCTGATCTTTTACTTAATAAAAATAAACAATACCACAGTTTAGGAATACTCTGTTGCAGGTAATGTTCTGGCATTCAAAATGTTATTTAAGTCAAAGTATTGTGGTGTTTCTGACAACAACTCTGCTATTCTGAGAGAAGTCTGTATATCTGCTGATGTAATGACAGCGTGTTGTGTTGCGTTCAGGTGTACATCAGCTGTTCAGTGCTGATGTGTGAGGCAGGGAGCAGCGGCACCAGGTGCTCACAGGGGTGCATCAACTCCCCCCTTACTGGGCATCATCATCATCACCGCAAGAGAGAGGCTCAGAGCGCCAGACACTTCATTTCCCAGGGTCCTCTGCGTTTGAAGAGATCAGCGGAGAGCACCGGGAGCCCAGGTACGTTTTCCCTCAGAACACCTGCCTACTTTGAGGCTACGGTTGAAAAGTGAAAATCAGGTCCTATGTCTTTTTCTAACCACTTTTCCCTGAGGAAATATGTGAAAGAGGATTCATCAGGACTTAGGAAAAGAGACTCCACTGACACTGGCAGACTCTTATGTTACCATACAGCTGACTACTCAGAGCGCATCTTTGGCTCCGTGTATTTTTATCATGTTTTTCGGACTTTATAAACGTACAGTACAACTTGTTTGGATTACACTTCTACATCTACTCCAACTACTACACATGGCCTACACATCTACTCCTAAATTAGAATTGCATTTAAAGAACTGGGGTTTCCTGGTGAAGTGGAGATATAAAGCTGAGTATCATCAGCGAAAAAATGATATTTTACATTATTATGGTTAATTATGTTGCCAAAAGGAAGCATGTAATGTAAATTGTAATGTAAATAGGTGGTGATTTGAATATGTTGTGCAGTATGTACATATATAATGGATTATCAGCTTAAATACATGTGGTAAAACACATGTGTACAGGTATGCAGTTAGTATAATTCATTGTATATACTTTAACATGTACAGGTATATAAAGGGTAGTAAAATAAATGTATTTTCTAGCATGTGTTCATCTATATATAGGCTAGTAATATGATTATGTGAGTAACCAATACAAGTAAAGTTGCAACTGCTTCAACTTTCTTAAACACTGGGGATTTAACAGAGGCAATCAACGTAGCCATTGAAATGTATTACTGTTGTAACTTGTTTGGCCTACACATCTATTCCTATGAAAATCACCATTCGAACATGTTTATTTAAACATGCATAGATTAAAAAACACAACTGGGTAAAAATTGTTAAACTTAATTAAATCATTTTACAGTAGTTAGCATAGTTCTCCTTTTGGTTTAACATATTGTTGAAAGTTACATAAAAGCACTTTGGCAATATATGACATAAAAACATATGATATATAATATTGTAAAATACCTAATAAGCACAGTAACTGACATGATCTGAGTTTTTCTTCACGATTGGTTGTTTCTGTGAGGATCTGCAGTACTTCCTCCTTCTTTGCCACTTCTATGTTTGTTTGTCTTCCTGGCTGGGCGTGGCTGACCTACATTCTGATTCCCGCCAACTCATCTCCACTGCTGTTGTAAATCTCACTGATTGCCACTACTCACCTGCACCTGCTTAAAACCCTGGTTCCCATCCTCAGACTTCGCCAGTTCTTCGTTTATCCTTCAGTGACCTACACACACCTGCCGCTCTGCTTGCCACGTCCAGCCTCCGACTCCTCGTCTGAGTTCCCTCCGTGCTTCCACGCACACCAGCTCATCCAGACTACGTTCGCCAGCTCTGGATTCCCGGCTCTCCTCGTCGGTGTTTCCTCCGTGCCTCCACGCACACCAGCTCATCCAGACTACGTTCGCCAGCTCTGGATTCCCGGCTCTCCTCGTCGGTGTCCTCCGTGCCTCCACGCACACCAGCTCATCCTGTCTACATTCGCCAGCTCTGGATCTCCGGCTCTCCACGCCGGTGCTCCCTCCGTGCATCTCCGCACCTCCGTCTCCCCCTGAGCTATCCAGCTCCACGTCTGTCTTCTCTGAGCTCCTCTCTACACCTTGCCTGTGCCGTGGTCAAATAAAGACTATTGTTTGACACTTCACCACTGTCTCCGTCTAGTGTTTGCGTAGCAGGTTCTCATCTCCAGTCACTTCTCGGGAAGCGTAACAGTTTCTGTGGACAGCCGAATGTTGACATTTAAATTATGCTTCTCTTTTCCTCCAGGGACCCCCATGAATCTGAACCTGGTGTTCATCGTTGGATGTCTTCTTGCAGCCATTGGCATGATCAGTGCAGTGGCCCTGTACAAAGTCAAAGCATCAAAGATCAAATACCAACCGTTGGCCTCTTTTGAAAACTAAAAAAAGCGGCTAGTTGAGAATATCCATTTATTGTTCCTGCCGTATGGGTTAGAAGTGGTTTTAATTGTGGTATTAACCACTGTTTACTGTGTAATCCCATATGGCTTTACAAGTGATTGTTCTTTCATGTACTGCATTATGATTTAAAACTTGATTGAAATGTGTGCCGCCCAATCATAATAATGCTAAATGTCATTATTACATTTTCAGCCTTAACGTCAAGTCATTTATGCTCAATGTCTCAATAAAAACATATTCTCTTAAATCTTCTTTTTGCTTTTGTCCAATTTACTATCTTTTTCTTCTGCACATAAACAAACACATCTTGGATAATCTGGTTTTAAGTTAGTCAAAAATAAATGTTTCTTTACTAAACCTCATTATGTTTTAGAAGTCGTGCAGCAACCGATCAAATGTTAAAGGAGAGGTGTCATGGCCATTTCCACTGATCATAATTCCATTGTTGAGGTCTACTAAAATAGATTTATATTGTGCAATTTTCCAAACTCACATTGGTCTCATACAGCATCTCTGTAAACTACTTGTATTCACTGAATTTCACTCTCTGCCTTTAACGGCTCGTTGTAGCTCCAATAGCTCCAGCCCCCACCCTCCCTGTGAGCACAGTGTGCTCTGATTGGTCGGGACGTTGTGAATCGCGCTGAGCTCCGTGGAGGTGTTGTTTCCTTGTTTAGGATACATAGCGAAACACAGCCAAATTCATCCTGAGCACACACAAACTCACAGTCGAAGTAAAAACAATAAGTGTGGCTTGATATTGAGTAAGAAAAAGGTTGATAAACTCTGTGAGAATGGGTTTGCAGAGAGCTTGACATCATGCCGTACCCGGAAGAATCAAATGGACAATGACGTATCTCCAACGAGGCGTTTTGGGGAGGTATTTTCTGTGTTAGAGTTTTACTCGCTACAGGGTGTACTTTGAGGGTTTTGACTCTGCACACCGTTTACATGCATAAAAACCTTCATAACACACAAGGGGACGGGTAATAACCGGAAAAGCATGACACCTCTCCTTTAACACCTGCAGTAATCATTAAGTAATGAATGTGGTGGAAACTTCTGAAGCAATGGAGATGAAACTCGGAGTTAAGAACCATAAAGCAGCCTCACCAGATTGATTGTGTGACTTGGCTGTGGCTGTAAATGGGTTTGAAAAAACAGCTTAAAACAGTCAAAATATTTGGTCAATTTGACTGGTTGAGGAAGATTATTACCGAGGGTTTGGGACTCAAACAAAATAAGGTAATGTTTGGTATGATAACGTTGAACAGCAGCTTGACTGTATAAGTAATCACAACAGTGATCAAATGAATGACTTAATAGACGCTTTTATCCAAAAGCAACTTACATACATTTAATACTGTGGGCAGAGATGGGGTCGTTACTAAAAAAAGTAATATATTACATATTACATATTACTTTAAAAAAAAGTAATATATTACACTACTTCGTTACTCTCTACATAAAGTAACTCGTTACTTTACTCGTTACTTTACTCGTTACTTTACTCGCAGGGCCGGCCAGCCCCTCCCTACAGGCAGATCACGCAGACTGCTAAAGTTTCAAATGTTCTCTTTAGTTCAGTTTCCATTGTCTGATGTCAAGACTGATCCAGATAGCTCTGACTATGGCTGTCCTCTGTCTCCTGCTATCTGTATTTTGCGCAGTATATCTCTGAACGATGCGATGGTGATTCCACTGTGCAAATGGGCAACATTACCTCTACTATGAAGGATGCTACAAGCCTGTCCATCTCTGCTTTGGTTACCGGTCCTCCAAATTCTAATTTGTGCTGCTTCGGAGTCGGCGGCGGCGCACTCACATCATCCTCACTCTGGGTTCGGGGGTCCTTAGCTATTAGCTTCACCTTAGCATGTGTTCTTTGCAGGTGTTTGTTGAGGTTTGACGTGGTGTTTGCAGCAGTGGATAACAGCTTCTGGCCTGGACACAGTTTGCACCTCACCGTCACATTCCTGTCTATTCTTCGGACGAACTCAAAATAATGGGCATACCTCCACCCCTCGAAAGTTATCGCTGACTCTGCCATGTTTATGCAGCACTGCACGTGGAGATGTGGACGCGCAAGTCGCGCAGATTACGTACATATAAACCTGTGGCGGAAACCCCTTTTGTCTGTCAGTGTGATTATGACTGATTTTATAAAAGTAACGAAGTAACGCGTGTCGGTGCGTTACACTACTCCGTTACCGACAAAAGTAATATTATTACAGTAACGCGTTACTTTGTAACGCGTTACACCCAAGCCCCCAGGAAGTGCGCCGGACTCAGATGAAAATATTCGTGCTGGCCAAACGGCGGTACTACACTTCCTTTTGGTTGCCAGGCCCGGAAACACTTTTTCCCATTGACTTCCATGGGGAAAGAGTGGTCTGTAAATCGTTGGATAATTTTTTTTAAACTAAATAAACTACCCAGTATGAACACTTGTATAGCCCTTATTAAAAACATTCGTTCCTCAAGTTGTAAAAATGTGCTAATAACGTTATTCTGCGAGTTATTTCCCTCTGCATTATGAACGCGCATCTAACCCACGGGACCGCGCCGCCCGGCACGTTCATGTTACGTGTTCAGCACTACATGCGTTTATCTTTACCCATGGATGCACAATAAGAACGGACCCATATCGCCCACGGAGCTATAATAATGGATATATTGCACATGTTTGTTGTAATTCATCATTTGTAAAATATGATACTACATGGGCTGTATGATTAAATCTTGTACCGTAAATGTTGTATTAAATAAAGTTAATATTACCGACGTAGATTAACGTCCCTGTAGCTTCTTATTGCACTAAGAAGCTTATTGCACTGTATATATATATATATATATATATATATATACAGTGCAATAATTCTTTCATGCTAAATGAAGCTCTGTTGCTTGGATATCACTAGATCCTGTTACAGCGTAATATAAAAGTACATAACGATTGATGTGTAAATTAGCATAATTACTAGCTAACCGCTAGCTGCTAACTGCCGCCTCGTTAATATCAAATCTATCATAATAACAAACCATTACCATGCTGTCATGAACGTGCGGTGCTGTTACGTGTACGCAAATTGACGTGCTTGAT